TTCCAACTCAAACCAGCCTGGGATTCTATGACAGTAAAAAGTGACTGGAGCAGGCCCTGAGCAACCTGATCTAACATCACACTCTAGCACAGCTTTGAGGAGGACATTGGACTAGGTGCTCTAAATAAAAGAGCAACAAGGAACAAACCTTGTTCCTGAGGCTGGTGGTAGAACCTGGTTTGCATCCACCTAACCATGTCTTACCCATCGTGTTTGGACCTGGGACTCCTCCGCCCTCAGTGTGATGCTCTTCAGTCCCCAGTATTTTTGGTTTGGGTTGTTGGTTTTTTTGCCATTTCTAGTGCCTGAACTAATCAAAGGGAGCTCCCCCAGAGCTGCTTCTACAGGATGAAGCTGTTTCATGCATGAGGGTGGGAGAGTGTCAATGGACTGGGTAGAGTGGATGGATCCAACCGAGGGACAGCCTCATCCATTCTGGGTTTGGAGCAGTCCCTGAAGTAAACTATTTCTAGAATTACACTTGTGTTTTTCTCGCAAAGAGTAAGATTAATTAAGTCTAAACCAGAGCAAGGAAAGCTGCCAACATTCAGTACAGGCAGAGTCTGGACTTGGTGCGTGAGTCTGCTCCTGGGGCATCTTTTCTTAGCACCGTAGATGCACCCCGCATTCTCCAGCGTTAGCCAAGTAACTACTAGGAGTCAGTTTTCTGGATGCTTGCTTATAGGCAAGAGGTTTAAAAGCTTTTGATTTTGAAGTTCACAAGTAGGTTTTTGCATGGCTGGTTGTGAACCAAGCAAGTATCAGAGTAACTTGTGTTTGTGGGGGAAAAGGCTAGTTTGGGATTTGCACTTGCAGTAGAAATAATGAGAGTTGGCGTAGGGCACGCCTCTCCCTTTGACATTTTAGGATAAGAGGAAACGGCCTCAAGTTGCACCAGGGAAGGTTTGGATTGGGTATTAGGAAAAATTTCTTTACTGAAGGAGTGGTCCAACATTGGAATAGGCTGCCCAGGGAAGTGGTGGAGTCACCATCCCTGGAGATGTTCAAAAGACATGCAGACGTGGCACTTCAGGACATGGTTTAGTGGTTGTGGTGGTGTTGAGTTGATGGTTGGACTTGATGATCTTAGAGGTCTTTTCCAACCTTCGTGATTGTATGATAAGCAATGCAGCATAGATGAATGTGATAGATCATAGAGGATTGTCTCTTTTTTAGGAGGAGGGGAGTGTTGGCTAAAGACAATTTCCTCAGTTTCATTACTTGCTGGGGTAGGAATGGGCAGTCGCTGTTGCTCATTTTAGAAGAATGATCATCTGGAAGTCATCTGACTGCCATAACTGGTAGATCTGCCGACATCAAGGTATATAAAAGAACCAAGTCCTGTGATTTTTGGAGGAATTTTGACCAAGCTCTGTAGTCATGAAGACATGGGTTTCTGCCTGTAGATGGACACGCAGTAAAAGCCAGTCCTTTGGCCACCTGGTCATGCTCAGTGGTGCTCAGCTGAGGCACATGCACTGGGACGTATGTATTAAATTGCCAGCTCATCCTTAAATAGCAGTCTCCAGTGAACTGTAAATGCAGGGCAGAACGTGCTGTAACCAGGAATTTGAGGAAGGAGGAATTCCACCCAACAGAAGTGCTGAGACTTGAAAATCTAGCTAGGTTTTCTTCTGGCAACTTCAAAGCTCGCAGGTCTCTGTAAACGCAGGCTCTGGAATTATTGCAGCTGCTAATAAAGGGTTGTTGTTCTCTTCGGTAGTTCACAGGGTCTGTAGAGCTAACAGGGAAAGCTGTACTTTGTTTTACTCAGGAAAATGTATAAATACTGAATACAGAAGTTATTCACTTCTCTAAAATTCTACTTTTGCTATGATTACATCTGTGAAGGGCAACATCCAGGTGTTCTGCTTGAGCTCACGCTTTCCCTGCTCATCCCTGCCAGTAGTGACATCTCATTTCATTCATTGTTACGAAGTTATTTCATAGACATTTTGAGGAAACAATGTAATCTACATAAATACATAGCTTGTCTTGCTCAGAGGAGTTTGGTGCTATACCTGAGACTAATCCAGATACGTCATTTTACACTGCGTGTCCGCTCCAGGGAGATAACTGTGGGAGAGAGGAAGGAAACAGATCAATTGGTGAGCAGTAAAGCCTGAGTGAATTTAGAGGTTGTCCACCTGGGGACTCTCTGAGTTACAATTAATTTTTTCCAAGTTCTGAAATTAATTTATTTTAGTTCCCAACTTCATGCCACCTGAAGTTTTAAGGTGTGGGGAATTCGGCCCAGGAATTACCTGCTGCCAGTGTAGTTCAAATGGAGGTTCTACACTTGTTTTAACACCAAAACTTTTTTCTTCTTTTTTTTTCTTTTTCCTCCCCCCTTCCTCCTTTTCTCTTCGATCTTCCCTTCCCTGGATATCCCCTCTCCCCTTCTCCCTCAGGCTTGTATAGATGAGAACCTGGACATGGTGAAGTTCCTTGTAGAAAACGGAGCCAATGTGAACCAGCAAGATAACGAGGGCTGGACCCCTCTTCATGCAGTGGCATCGTGTGGCTACCTGAACATAGCAGAGTGAGTGAGTTTCAGGCTGTCCTGGGTATTTGTAACACTTTCCATGTCTTTCCCTTTGGAATAAGCACACAGGCAATTGATGCTCTGAGACTTATACAACATCTTGAGAAGCAATGTGGAAAATAGATGCATTTCTCCTGCTACTAAATTCCTAATTTGTGAGGATTAAGGTGGAGCCTACAACTGGTTGCCTTTCGCTGATCCCATTACAGTGACTTATGATTCATTAGATACTTGAGCTAAAATGCCAAGCAAAGGGGAATCACGATGGCTGCCAGGCAGGGACACTAATGCAGAGATGTGGAACCAAGCACAGCTCTGCTGCTGCTGCCTGTCTTTGCTGTGCATTTCCATCAGCAAAGAGCCTGTGTAGAATTTTAAGCATTACCTAAGAGCAATTTGGGATTTCATTTGTCTAACTGAAAAGAATTGCATCTCTGTACAAAACATATGTTAGGGTGATTACATGCATAGAGCTATTCCAAAGTAAACCCCAAATAGCAGATACGTGGCATCCTATAAAACACCTCAAAGGGGGACTGTACCAGTGCTCAGCCTTGTTCTGAGACTTTGCAAAGTGACACATTTTCTGCCATAGACAGGCCCACGTGGGCAATACTGCAGTTGTGTGGAAATACAGTGCTCTGGGCTCTGCAGTCACCAGTGTGCCAACAGCATGGTTTCTTTTTCTTCAAATTCAGATCTAGTGTTTCTGTTTGTTGCGTACTGTCTGACAAAAGGTGGAGAAGTAGATAAAAGTAACTGCTTGTTACTTAACCCAATTAAAATTAGAGCATTATCTTGGTGATTTTCTTGTTTTGTTTACAACACAAGATACTGGGCTCAGTTTGGACATAACCAGATGAAATTCTGTGGCCTGCCATAGGGAGATTGGATAATCTAGTGAGTACGGACATAAAATACATAAGAAAGAAGAGACAGAAGGAAATATAGTCATAAAGTAATTATAACTGAAAGTTTTGTCCAGTAAATGTTTAAAGCAAAGCAGTAACCTGCTATAAGTGATTCCCAACAAAGATTTCACTCTCCTGGGCACAGTTTATGATAACAGGGTTTGAAATAACATTGTGCATCTGATCTGAGCGTTTATTATGTTTGTCCCAGAGAAGATACTGATACCAGACTACTTGTTGTGCACCAGCAAGTTGCTCTGAAAGTTTGAGAGCTGCTCAAATATATGACCTGGAGTGCTCGAATAACTGGGACCAAAGAATATGCAAACATAAATGGTAGTTTCCCAACTGAAATAATTTTCCTGAGATAAAGGCTGCATTATATGTTAGAAAAATAAGGGAAAACAATAGTATTTCTCAATGTAGTCCTCTACAAAATATTCTAACACACACACACACACAAAAGTCTTCTGTGAGTCAATTATTTCTGTGTTGTACTCCTCCCAGAGCAATTCTTAGCTCTTTCAATGATCCTTTATCAGTTTGTTTTTTCTTCTTCCTAAATACTAGTTCTTCAAATGAAACATATTATTATCCTTTACCATTCATACACCATGCTTATGTCACCATGCTTATGTATTTAGTTCACCACAGCTACCAAAAAGTTACCAAATTTTGAATGCTGATAACTTTCTCAAAGGCATTGAAAATAAATTTTTGAAACCAAACAACGTTGCCCTCTTGGATTTGTGTGTTTAACCAGGTACTTCTTTTACTTCCCAGAATTTTACTGGTTACAAGATGTGCAAGTCGAAGAAGACATTAATTGTTCCTGAATGCACTTTTGGTATAGTTATAAAAAGACAATTTAGAAATTGATGATGACTTGGCTTGCCTTTTTTTTTTAAGTTGTAATCAATCAGATTAGTGCAAGATCTAGGAGTATTTGAATAATTATAGAGAAACAAAAACTATGAGCCACTGACCAGGGACCTTGTATTTAAGAATGAACTTTTTTAGTCTAGAAATTTGATAAGAATAAGGTACTTATTTGGTAATTGACCTTGAATGAGAAAGCTAAATATTTTGTTCAGCTACTTGATCTACTGTGTAAGTCGCACTGAAGCCTGCACACAAGGTCTAATACGTTGGTATGGGTCTCATTCACGTAGGTACTTAATTAGTCATGGAGCCAATGTGGCTGCTGTGAACAGCGAAGGTGAAGTCCCGTCTGACATCGCCGAGGAAGCAGCCATGAAGGACCTGCTTCTGGAACAAGTAAAGAAACAAGGTAAATCAGTAGCGGGATTGAATATGTGAGAATTAGACCTCAAAGAGTTTCTATAAGAAAATTCTCTTGGCTTACTGTAGGTGAAGAGATCTGAAATCTGACCCAGAGAGGTTGTGGAGTCTCCTTCTCTGGAGACATTCAAAACCCGCCTGGACGCCTTCCTGTGTGATCTCATTTAGGTTCCTGCTCCAGCAGGGGGGTTGGACTGGATGATCTTTCGAGGTCCCTTCCAATCCCTGACATTCTGTGATTCTGTGAAGAGGCAGCAGACAGATTTGGCTTTGGTAGCAGAACAGTGGAACAGATGTAGAAGGTTTGTGGTGTGCAGTCTCGGTCCTTAGGATTCTTGAAAGCAAGACACCACAGGACTGAAATCACAGAATCACACAGAATCCCAGAATGGTGGGGTTGGAAGGGACCTCAGGAGATCATCCAGTCCAACCCCCCTGCCAAAAACTACACCAGATGATGCCCAAGCTGACACCACCAAAAGCTCAACTCAATCTGATTAATTGTATCTGTTTGCTTTTAAAGTGAGATGTAATTCTGACCTCTGGTATTAATGAAACATCTTGTTTCATTAAGATTTGATAATACAGAGGTGAGATTTACAGCTGTGCTAAGAGCAGGGACCAGAAAATGGGTGTGCCTGGCCTGGAGTGACTGGCTTTATCCTGATCCTTCCTTAGATGACTTCTGCAGCCCATCTGCTCTGCCATTTCTTCTTTCTCATCAGGTATGCCTGATGGGGCTGCTCTCAGTCCTGTCCCTGCAAAAACATCACTAGTGGAAGAAACATCTTGGGCAGTGTGGCGTGTTAGAATTATGAAATGCTTCATTAGTGTAAAATTTTCTTCATACTCATTCGTCTGTGAGTGGTTAGGTGTCTGTACATGCACATGAGAAGTTTAAATCCTATCTATGAAGTTCATCAAGAATGTTTTTGAATGATCCATTTATCTCAACTATGTGGAAGGCAATGAACTGAGACAAATTGAGCTGTTACAGACCAAACTCTCCATGCTGGAGATAGGTGGACTGCAGATTTAGCCTTGAGAAGCGAAGGTTGACAGGGAGATCTAATTGCTGTCCTCCACTACCTTGAGGGAGGCTATAGACCTCTTCTCAGAAGAGGAGCCAGACTCTTCTATGAGCTGCAAAGTGACAAGATGAGAGGAAAAAGTCATAGGTTTGAACAAGGGACATTCTGACTGCATATATATTTATATGTTTCCCAGGGAAGTGGGGCAGTGTTGGAACAGAGACCCAAAGAACTTCTGAATTCTCCATCATTGGAGGTAGTCAAAACTCAGCTGCATTGGGCTCTGAGCAGTTTGATCTGGGTTACCCTCTTTTGAGCAGGGATTTGGGCTAGGTAGCCTCAAAGATTCTTTCTGGTCTAGATTGTTTTATGACGGCAGGTTGGTGTTGGGGTGGTTTGCACGCTGGATTGAGTCCAGTCCTCTCTCTAGCAGATGTGTTCTGCTTGGCACACGATGGTTACTTTATTTTTGAAGCTATTTTCAGTTGTAGTTAAGGAGAGATCAGTCCCTTGTTACTTTGTCAACCGTGTTACTGTTCCACTGGTGAGTTTGTAGCTGTGCATCTGAGAACTAGTTGGTACTTGCATTAGTGTTCCTCTTGGAGAATTGATGCGGGATCACTTTCCTTCTGGTAAACAGAAACTTTTCACTTTCTAGTCTAGTGGTATTTGTGACAAAGTTATTCTTATTTTGTTTCCCTTTTCCTTCCACTTTATTTCAAATTTAAATAGCCCTTCTCCCTGCTCACATATTTAAAAAGAAGAATTGTGTCTACAGTCAGGGTTTGTTTTACTGGGCTGACCAAACCATACCAATCTCCTTTCTTCAGTCAGGCTTCCTTGGATGCCCAGAAAGATAGAGATCCTTTCTTTACATCAGTGTAACTTGTCTCTCTGTGCAGTAGGTATCAAGAACTGTACGTGGTAACAACATGGTTGAAGCCTTGCAGGATATTAAGGCAGTAATTCTGCCTCAGCTGCCGATATTTTGCCTGACACTTCTTGGGATTCTGCTTGGCTTTTTCATTGCTTCGCCACATTAGCGGCATCCTGCTAAGATGCCCTGAAACAACCATCTGTCTCCACTGAGAAGCTTCCCATTGACACAGTTTAAAAGGATCATAACTGCTGGCGTAAATATGGTATAAACTTTAAATAAGCGTCCGTCCAGCTCTGCAGCCTGTCTTCAACGGTAGCTATAAACAGATGCCTGCTGCAAACCAGAACAGCAGGACAAGTGTGTATGATTCCCCTCCCAAACATTTTCCCAGCCTCCAGCCACTGTGCCTGAAGGAATTCCTGAGCCAGATGGGCTTTCTGTGTACTCTGAATCCCCCGTGGCTTTCTGTTTCATAAACTTGTGCAGTCCTTCTTGGGAGCTCCTGGTGTGTGTAGCATTGTGTTTAATAACTGCAAATTTGTCTAGCCTTTGTTCTGAAGCCACTTGTATTTCTAATCTCTGCAACGTCCTGCAGCAGAGGGTTTCACAGTTCCAACTCTGAGCTGATGAGTGTTTCCCTTTTTTCTGTTTTATACCTAATGCCCCATAATTTAATCAGGAATCACATCGTTCTTATACTGAAAAAACTAATTCACAGGGACAGTTGCTCTTTAACACTCTTCTTGATTTTTGAAGTTTGTCATCTTCTCCATTTGTTTTTCCTGAGTCAGCGAGCTCTAGTCTGACTGATCTTGTATGGAGCTGTATTGTACTTCTGATTGGTATGTCATCCTTACATGACCTCATTATCATGAAAACTCTGCTTACAAAAACAAATCTGAGGTAGTTTTGCCTCTTGTTGGTTTAGTGACAGTTGACACAGCCAGACCCACCTGGCCTTTACACATGGTAGCACTTGTTTCCTAGGGTGGGAAATGTGTCCCTCCTGTTATGGGAAAGCCCCATAGTCCATGTCTCTGTCATACCAGATGTGTGTGTTGATGAAGTTACTTGATCTGACTTCATCTAAAGCAGATCTCTTGAGCCCTCAGAGTAGTTTTTTTTGGCCTTCTATCCCCAAAATGATTTAGAATTGTGTTTTCTCAGAACCTAGTGGTTGGTTGCTCAGTGGAATTAACTAAATATTTCTTCTGGCGTGCCTCACAAGCGGCTCTGGTTCAGCACAGATCTCTGTATGTGCAGCTTGCAGGTTGTACTGAATTTTGAGTAAGCACACAGATGGGGTTGTGCTGCTCTTGTAGGACATGTCTTTAGGTTCATCTCTTCAGATCTTCCCTGTAGATTATACTCTCAGTGTAGTTTAAGGCAGATTATTAAGCTGTTGTTTCTGACTTTCTTATTTCAGTCTAGGACACTGCATGTTTAGAATACAGTCCCTCCACCCGTAGCTCACAGTTCAGCTAGTAGTGACTTGGGCTGGTTTGCAACCAGTGGCTCAACTTTCAGATTTTTTTAAGTCAGACAGCTTTGAAGTCTCTGTCAATATTGCAGGAGTTCTCCCAAATCCTAGAGGATAATTTTGTTGTTGTTGTTGAAGATTACAATTAGTCTACTAATATTGTGTAACAAATGAAATATGGGGTAAGTTTAACAAGTACATGAGAGCTTTCACTTGATAATCTCCTCTTCTGTGCTTCACCCTCTTAGGTGTAGACCTAGACCTGGCAAGAAAAGAAGAGGAGCAGCAAATGCTACAGGATGCCCGACAGTGGCTGAACAGTGGGAGAATTGAAGATATCAAGCAGCCTCGAACAGGTGCCACGGCTCTTCATGTTGCTGCAGCAAAGGGCTATTCTGAAGTCATGAGGTAGGAGCTCCTTCCCAGGGCTGATGCATTGCATTAAGGCTGGTTTTTGTAAGGAATACATCTGCCTTTATAGTTGAGAGAAATTTATTTCATACTGAGATTTTCAGGCTGCTATTTCTCAAAAGGCTCTGTAGATGTATGTGTGCAACCATAGTGATTCACCTATAAATACACAGGGCCTGGAAGATTCCCTTTCATACCTCTAGACCTTTGAAGTGATTAAAGCTTTTCAGAGAGTGAGACATAAATCAGAAGGTTTAATTTTCACTATTAGAGTAATAGTTTTAGGACTAGTGAGTTAAACAGCATTAGGGGATAAAAGTATAATTTCAGCCTGCAAAGTGACAATACATGCTGCATGACAATCACAAACGCCCCAACAGTTTACATGACCAGTCTAGCAGAAAAATGTCCACCCCTGTCTCACTGTCCCCTGCTCCTTAATGCTTCTGCTGCTGCAGCCATCAGCAGTGACAGGGATTCCAATAGATTACAGTTCTGTCTCTTGCTGTGCTGGCACTAACAAGCTGCTTATGAACATAAACTTGCCCAGTGTCGAGTTTCCTGGCAATAAAGCATTAATATTTGTCCAGGTAAGGTCAAATTAAGGTTTCCAACAATAAAGCTTTCTTCTCTGCTCTTTATGCACGGGTGGAGCAGCCCATAAACGGCAAGGTTACCCTTTTGCCCACATTAAAATCCTTTCTGGAAGTGTTCATCTATCTTGATTCTTAATTTCATAGTTTTAAGTGGCATGACTTGATGTGTAAGAGCTGTTTCTTATCAAGCTCTAGTAACTTTGTTGTTCTCCATGTTTCCCATTTGTATTCATTCATTAGAGCTTATAATTGAGTTATAAGCTGTTTGTGCCTGTACCGTGCCCAGGAACACTAATCTAACACAGCTCACATGGAACAGAAATGTGGTATCTCCTGAATTTGAGGTGTTGCTGCTGTGGACTTTCAGTGGAGGACTGTGTATCCGGTACTCGTCAGTGAAGGCTCCATTCACTGCACGGTGACTAGTTCTGGACAGCTACTCCTTGGCATTAATTGTTGTAATGATAAACAGATCTCACGGAGAGCTGACATTGTTTCACTCTTGTGTATTTTATGGCCACCTTGCAAGTTCAAACACAAAGCTTCACTGGCTTAAACCAAAGGGGCTGAAAGCCAGGAGCTAGCTAACTCTCAAATGAGACATGGGATCTGTCTGTGACCTTGAGTCTCTCAGCAGCTACGTTCCTCCCTTTTGCCAGCTGGAAAATCAACATAAAGTCAGCACCTAATTTAAAATTTCTTTCCCAGACAGACACACGGCTGCTACAAGATGACACTTTTATTTAGCACAGTAACGTGTCGGTGTAAAAGCTGCAGGAGTTTCAAAAGTGTTGGTGCCATTCTGGGGTTGTGCTGGATTTCCCTTGTGCTGCAGAAAGGTGGCTTGAGATGGTGGAATTTCCCACGATGGAAATCTTCAGTAGCAGTTTTACTGGACTTGCAGAATTCTTCTGGGATGTTTTTCAATATTTAAACAACTTGTATAATAGTTTTGATACATGAGCCGCTCAGTACTTCCATCTGAGCACTGGGGCACCAGTGTGCACATGTCTCTGAAGCTTCAGACTACAATTGACTCCCTTCTGTTTGTTTTGGGTTTAAATATTCAAGCTCCAGATGCTATGCAACCAGGTGCTCTGGTCTGATAGAGAAGGGAGTGTGTGGAAGGTGCACAGCAGTAAATGTGATGTGGAGTCATTCCCAGGCAGGTTCACTAGGGTAAGATTTGCTTTAAATGAGGACTAGTCTGCAAAAATGCATTTGGGGTTTTTTAACCCAAATGTGGGTTATTTAACTTACCTGACAGCCCAGCTGGCATTGGCTCATTATGGGCTGTTCCTACGGTGTTGTCTTGTTCTCTAGGAGAACCAAGACTGAGCTCAACTCACTAAATGTCCTTTTCTTGCCAGGTGCTGTGCTTGGGTCCTTGTTATGGAGACGAAAGTCTGATGAGAGAGATTGTGTTAGTTTGCTCAGTGCCTGAGCGTCCATTGGAGCAGGAGCTCACGCTGGGTCACTGATGCCAGATGGGAACACCAAGTTGGGCAGCAGTGTTGATCTGCTGGAGGGTAGGAAAGCTCTGCAGAGGGATCTGGAGGTTGTATCAATGGGTTGAGGCCAATGGCATGAAGTTCAATAAGGCCAAGTGCTGGGTCCTGCACTTGGGTCAAAACAACCGCATGCAACGCTACAGCCTTGGGGCAGAGTGGCTGGAGAGCTGCTGGTGGAAAAGG